GGGACACTCCCCGCCCCCCACCCAGTGCACAAATTTCATGCACCGGGCCCCTAGTCTATAATAATAAAAGCATAATGTGCTAATTAGGCTGGATATCCTTCCTGATGACCTTCTGGACAAAGCTGTGGCTGCAAGGGAAGCCCGGGTCCTGGGTGCCAGAGGGAAACCCGTGTTGGCAGCCGGGGGAAGGAAGGCCTACTCTTGCACGAATTTCATGCATTGGGCCTCTAGTTTACAATAAAATCTCTTAGCAAACTACTAGAAACAAAAGGAACTTCTTTAATTCACCAAAACTTATCTTCACAAAATCTACTGTGATACTATGATTTATAATAAGAACTATATATTTGGTCTTTGTCCAGCTTTCTAGCAAAGAGCTCCCACAACACTTGGAATTTCCTAAGTGATGAAAGTGATGGAGGAGTCTTGCTATGTGAATGAGATGACTTTTGGAAAGCACCTGTGGATGGGGCTAGTGGTAGGAGAATCAACCATGTGACTAGAGGGTTAGAACTTTCAGTGTCCCCTCATCCTCACCTCTGGAGAGGAGAGAGAAGCTAAAGGTTCACCAATTGCCTATGGCCAATGTATGGTCAAGGATTTAACCAATCATGCCTAGGTAACGAAGCCTCCATAAACCCCAAAAGGACAACCAATGGGAGGGCGCAGGCAGCAAATGAGATGAAGCACTGAGGCTTCCTCCCCTTTGCCCTCCTCAGCCTGCTGGTGCTCACCTATGCGGAGGTCAAAAAAGAAAGACAATCAAATTATTAAAACTTCTAAGAGGAAAAAACAACAACTTCTAAGAGAATTCAGCAAGCAAACTCAATTACATTCTTTTATTTTTAACCCACACCCAAGGATATGTTTATTGATTTTAGAGAGAGGAAGGGGGGTAGAGAGAAAAACACTTATGTAAGAAACAATCAATTGGTTGCTTCTAGTTTGCAGGATTGAACCCACAACCTAAGTATGTGCCCTGACTGGGAATTGAACCTGCAACTTTTTGATATATGGGACGATGCTCCAACCCACTGAGCCACCTAGCCAGGGCTCAATTACATTCTTTTATAGTATACCAGAAATAAGGTATTGGACAATATATTATTTTAAAATATTCCATTTAGAAAGCAAAATCATAACTTACCTAGTGATAAATCTAAGAGCAGATGAGACCTTTATAGAGAAAATCATAACTATTTGAAAGACAAAACACCTAAGTAAATGAAGAGGAAATGGTATGTTCATGATTGGGAAAATGTAAAGATGTTCAATCTTTACAAATAAATCATAAATTCAATTAAGTTTTTATTAAAATCCCAGAAGACTTCACAAAACTTAAGCTGAGTCTCAAAATATGTGGAAAACCCAAGCCCATTCTCCAGTTGTCTAACTCATTGTCTCCCCTCCCCTCCCCTGCCCTTTCCTTTCCTTTCCTTGGCTTCACATTTGCCAGACCCATTCTATAAATGTTTCATCAGGGTTCTGACCTCACCTCTTTGTTTTAAACCCTATACATACTCCATGGGAGATCACATGGCTTTACAACACCACTACATGTTTTTGATTCCCAAATCTGTTATGTCTTTCCTGAGTTTAGGCCTTATTAGCAAATGCCTACCAGGCAGCTCAAATCAGACATCCCCAAAGTTCCTTAAATTCAACATGTCCAACATCAAATTTGTAGCTTGCTCTGAGTCCTGTTCCTCCTCCTCTCCCAGGCAATGACACCACCATCCATCCAGAGACCAAAAACTTAGGAGTGTATTTTGACTTTTTCCTTTTATCTCGCATAAACAATGACCACGACCTGTCTTTCTTTCTCCTAGATGTCTTAGCGAACCCACTTCTCTTTCTATCTTAGAGTCTTAATCCAAAGCTTCCACCAATGCTTACCTGGATAACTATGTCCACTCCACCCAGTCTCTATGATCTCTTCACTGCAGCTGGAATGATTTTTTCTTTTTTTAAAGAAAGAAAGAAATGTTTTTATTGATTTTAGAGAGACAGGAAGGGAGAGGAAGAGAAACAAACATTGATGTGAGAGAGTAACATCCATTGGCTGCCTCCTGCACGCCCCCCCACTTGGGATGGAGCCCGAAACCTAGGCATGTGCCCTGACTGGGAACTGAACTGGCAACCCTTTGGTACATGGGACAATGCCCAATCACCTGAGCCACAATGGCCAGAGCTGGAATGATTTTCCTACAATACAAATCTGATCGTGTGATTTCCTCTACTGTTTAAAATCTTTCAATAGCTTCCCCATGATGCCAGGTAAAATGATATACTCCGTAACGGGACTTTAGAAAGCCCTTCCTCAACAGATTCCTGCTCTTCGGCCATACCTTCCATCCATCTGCAACGTCCTCTTGACTTACTTCTTTGCACCCATCCCCAACCTCCAAACTCAATTCTCTAAATGATACCCTCAACATGCTAAGCAATTTCTCCACACCTGGAAGTGCTACCTGTAACTTTTCTCCCCATCCCCCTTCTTTCATCTGATTCAGGCCTGGCCAAAATGTCACTTCCTTTGGGGAAACGAGCCTGGATTATGCCCCCTCTTATGTGCTCCAACAGAGCCCTGTGCTTCTGGCATCCTAGCCATCATCCCAAGAATGATTGGTCTCCTTCACCACACTTCAGGCACCACAGGGACAGGGATGGTTTTCTTTTTCCTAGTAAGTCCAAGCACATCGAACAATGTGAGAGAACAAAAGGATAAACAGATGAATGGATATCTCCTAAGTGTTCTCTGTGAAATAATGATTTCTCTGTGTGGAGGAAGAACTGTTTGTTCTGTGTTTAGTGTCAGAAAATAAAAGAAAATCTCCATAAATGTCTGGACATCGGCGTACCAGTGGGAGAACTTGAGTTGCTGTAAATCCCGGGGGGATTTACTTTGGAGGCTTGTAAAATTAAAGTGTGATGTCTGGGAATCAAGAGACTGGTTTTGGTTGCAGTTCTACAAGCACTGTGTGACTATGATCAATCCCTCCATTTCTCTAAGCCTCAGTTTGCTCATTTATAAAACTAAGATGAGGGTTTGCTCTCACTGAGATCAAAGGTTGCTTCTGTCCTAGCAGTGTCTGTGGCTCACACTCTTGCCCAGACCCCCTCCATGGCCTCAGGGAGCTTGTCTGTCCGCTGCTGGACATGTCCTGCAGACTTTCACCTGTGGCTTTGTTCAGAGAAGGCTGAGGAACTGATCTGCCACGGAGAGATGCTCCATATGATGGTCAATAAGATGATATGTTAACCTATTTGGAGCCTGACACAGTCAGTACACAATTAGAGCTATACTGTCACCATCACCACCCTCAAAATCATTACTAAGCTATGAATAAACGCCTCAACTAGAAGATCTAAAGCCCTAAATGGACCTGATAGGTACATATATCTTAAGCCCTAATACCCAATATTAATTGATGTTAATTAATTACTATTAACATCTAAAGCTTCACATGTCCTGGTTTTAGCCTAGATCTTCTGTTGGGACCTGACACTAAACACAGATGGAGAGTCCAGACCAGGTGGAGTATGCTGTGGAGGCCAGAAAGTTAGGAGATCTGCATGAGCCCCACTAAGAGCCAGAGGCTATGGTCTCCAGGCCTGTCCTTCACTCAAGCTGTGCTGGACCAGCAGATGAAATGAACATCCTGGGTTCCTGCAGAAGTTGAGCACAGGGCAGCCCAGCAGAACACCAGACCTGTGGAGAACCAGATTTGAGCCAGACGCTGCCCCATAAGGGAGGTTTCCTGAGGACCTGAACTCCGTGTCCCCAAGGTTGGGTCTGTCCCAGCAAAAGCAGGGCAGCGGGTCACCCAAGGCCCTGGGCCACAGGATTCATTACCGAAATGGAGTTGCTCCCAGCCCTGTGTGGCCTGCTCCCATCTCCTGGTCTAGACTCTCCCACCCTTATCGCCCACAGCCAGGCCTGGCAGCTAGCTAGTTCCCTCATTAGGCAAACCTCCCATATAGCCTGTCCCTCAGCTAGGAGAATGGGGGGTAAGCCAATATCAGTCCAGAAAAGGATCCTCACTCCTCTCCTCCTTCCCCAAGTGTTCCACAGTGACCCTTGGGGCCTGCCAGACAGAGCTGGAGGGGGGGCTGGGGTGGGGAACAGATGGCATCATTAAGCCCGGGCCATGTGCCATGACCAGAGGAATAAAAATAATCCCTGACTTGGCTCCCAGGGCCTGGCCACCACCCCACCCTGTTCTGCCCACTACCCCACCCAAAAGGCTACCAGAAAGGCCACCCAATGCAAACTCCAGGCACAAACAACACTCAGCTCCATCCTAGGGGCCACAGACGCTGGTTACTCAGGAATTTTCAGAAGATTCATGAACTTATAGGCTTTTATAACAATCTTTCTAATAATGAGAACAACAATTTCCTCAAAACCCTTTTCAGGACAGGAAGGGAAAATGGAGAAATTGAGGGTCAATGATAGCAAATAATTTGCTTGAAGAAACTGGCGAAATGAGACCTCAGACCCTGAAGTCCTGTCCCCTGGCTGTGTCCTTAAGACACCCACCTGCTGCTCTCAAAGCCCACCTCCTTCTTCAGGAGCCTTCCTCAGCCATGGTGATCTCTAGGCCCCACCTAACTCCCACCAGCCTCTAGAGCTTCCAACACTCAACTCAACACATGACACTGGTCTGAAAAAGTGACTGCACCTTGCTCACCTGTTCCCCACTGGACTGTGAGCTCCTTGAGAACATAATCATTTCTCATTGATTAGCACCTCCCACCACTCCTGCCCCAGTGTTGAGAATTTAGGTAGTAGATGTCATCCTTAAGAAACTGATTCTTCCACTGATGCCCTTTCCTTGGTCAGGAACAAATCTACTATTAATTTCCTTTAATTATAATGTTTCTAACTCCTTGGGGATCAACATTTATCTTCCTATATAATAAAAGCATAGTATGCAAATTGTCCCCTCCACCAGGAGTTGGTCTGGGAGTTCAACCAGGGGGCGGGGCCAGCTGGAAGGGAGGGAGGCTCCAGCCAGCAGCTAGCAGCCGCTAGGAACCCTATCAGTGCATGAATTTCATGCACTGAGCCTCTAGTAACATTATAACCTTTTCCCTATGCTCCCTCAACCCAAATTGGAAGTGATGGACAGTGAAACTCAGAAAGTTTGTAAGGCTGGCCTAATGTCATCTAGAAAGTTAGAAAGAGACAATTAGGAGCAGGCCTGAGTCTCCCTCCCTGTTATGAAGATAAAAATGGTTCTCTATGCTCCTCTTCTCCTCACTGATTCCAAGAGCTCTGGGATCTAGGGGAAAGATTCCAGCCACATCAGGATTCTCATGAACTGTGGGCTCTGAGATCCTGCCCACTGATACCTCAGCTTTCAGTCTGCTGCTTCTCTCCTGGGCCCTGTGAAGAGCTACCTCCTTCACCTCAGTGGCTCCTATAACTGAGAAGCTGGATGGAAAAAGAGAAGTTGAAGTTTCCTTCCAGGAGACCCATTCTAATCTTCGAGATACATTTGTCCCAGAGGCATAAAGAAGTAGACGGCGGGGTGGTGGCTAAAGTAATTCAGAGTAGGAGCAGGCCCCTCTATCTCAATCCCAGACCAGGAATCCTCCTTCAGGATGGTGGACTTATCTAAAAGGCTTGGTTATCAAGGCCAGGAGTCATGGGTCTGAATCCTAGGTGCTTTGCCCAATCTAATACAGCTGTGGCTATGGAGCATTGACACCAAATGGAATGTGGGTCTTCCCCATCCAATTCATTTCAGAGCAGAGACCAAAACTGTTCCTCCCATTATTATCCTGACTATTCCCAATCGGACTAGACTCTGGAGATTGGGCCAACTGAAGCAGAAGTGCAAGCTCCCCAATTATGGGGTGATCTCTGAGCTTTCACTGCCCTGAACTCATTTCTTAAGTAAGAACAAGAGGGGATATCAGGAACAGGAAACACCAGCCTTCTTCCAGACTCATTCCCTCCTCCAGCCCCCTTAGTCTCCTCACCACCTCTTAAACCTGAGTTTAGTCGCACTGCTTTCCTGCTTAGGGTGAGCCTCTGTACTTATGTAATTCCTGACACCAGTCCATCAGTAAACATCTACTAAAGGTAGGGGAATAGGAAAATGCTAGTAGAAAGGTACAGACTTTCAGCTACAAGATGAGTAAGTTCTGAGAATGTAAGACATGGTACTACAGCTAATAACACTGTATTGTATAACTGAAATTTGCTAAGAAAATAGAACTTGAATGTTCTCACCAAAACCAAAAAAAATTATAAATATTATATATCTGAGGTGACAGATAGATTAATTAGATGAGGGTAATTCCTTTAATAATGTATGCATCAAATACTAGATATAAACTTTAAATATCTTATTATTTTATGTCAAGTACTAGAGTCCCGGTGCACAAAAATTTGTGCACTGGTGGAGGTGGGGAGGGGTCCCTCAGCCCAGCCTGTGCCCTCTTGCAGTCTGGGACCCCTCGGAGGATGTCCACCTGCTGGCTTTGGCCCGCTCCCTGGGGGAGCGGGCCCAAGCTGGCAGTCAGACATCCCTCTGGCAGCCCGGCAGCCCTCGGGGGATGTCCACTTGCCAGTGGGGAGCAGGTCTAAGCTGCTGTCGGATATCCTTAGCGCTGCTGAGGAGGCGGGAGAAGCTCCCACCACCACCGCTGTACTGGCAGCCATCAGCCTGGCTTGTGGCTGAGCAAAGCTCCCCCTTTGGGAGCGCAATGACCACCAGGGGGCAGCTCCTGCATTGAGCATCTGCCCCCTGGTGGTCAGTGTGTGTCATAGTGAACAGTCATTCCCAGTCGTTCTGCTGTTACGGTCAGTTTGTATATTACCCTTTTATTATATAGGATAGAGACCTGGTGCATGGGTGGGGGCCAGCTGGTTTGCCCTGAAGGGTGTCCCGGTTCAGGGTGGGGGTCCCACTGGGGTGCCTGGCCAGCCTGGGTGAGGGGATGATAGCTGTTTGCAGCTGATCACACCCCCTTCAGGATGGGGGTCCCCACTGGGGTGCCTGGCAAGCCTGGGTGAGGGGTTGATGGCTGTTTGCAGGCTGGTCAAGCCCCCCCACCCCGCAGTGGGGACCCTCACCCCATGGAGGTTTGGCCAGCCTGGGTGAGGGGCTGATGGCTGTTTGCAGCTGGCCACACCTCCTTTAGGGTGGTGGGTCCCCACTGGGGTGCCTGGCCAGTCTGGGTGAGGGGCTGAGAGCCGTTTTCAGGCTGGCCAAGCCCTCCCTGCGACAGAAGCTCCCAGCCTGTCCTTTTTTTCT